GAACTCCCTGGCACACATCAAAAACCACTCCCCTGTGTTGCTTAGATATGCTTCCTGTTGCTGAAGAATTAATACAAGGAGAGGCTTATATTTTTTTTCACATGACCGCAGCAGAAAAACTATTGAGAGGGTGTTGTGGTCTGAGAGCACAGTGTCTCACAGCCTGCTAACCAGAGGCAAAACCTGGTGAATTACTTTGTTCCTTAACCAAACAGAAATTTTCCTCAAGAAAGTCAGTTAGTGGAGATTTCATTTTTCTTCCTGTTTGCCTTGCCATGCATGGTGCATGGCTCATAGTACCTACCAGCTTGCTGATGAGTTAAATGAAAGCAACAGTGTCTTCTGCTAGGACTATGACTGAGTAGGTGCCACCAAAGTGTCAGGCTTCGACTCGAGGTTTTATGTCAATATTTGAAGAGAATCCTGTTTATAGATGGGAAATAACTGATAGTCATAACTGACAATATCATATGGAAATAGTATTCCATTTGTGGTGAATATACTTCTCCAAAGAGACCATAACTTGTAGCAATAAAATGCTATTTTAGGATAATTACTCATACATTTTTTGGTTACAATAAAAAAACAAGTTTTGAGTCATGTTTTATGTGTACAATTCTCAGACAGAAAATTAACTTAAAAACAGATGAGAAGTTTAAAAGACTATAAAATAGTACTGTGGCTCACCTAGTCATTTCCTTAATATTGTTTTGATGATCAGAATTTATATTTTAATAAAGTTCAATTTATTAACTTTTTCATGATGAGCACTTCTGTGGCTTGTGAAATCTTTTATGAGCCTATTCTGTCATTTATATTAGGATACTTACTTATATTGAGTGATGATTTTTTTCCATACAGATATCCAGTTCTGCACCATTCAATAAAGACTTCCTCTTCCTGCATGTAATTGGCTTACCATCTTTGCCAAAAAATCCAATGACCTTATATATGTAGGTCTTCTTCTTCTATATCTTTATAAATACCATAATCTTTTGGATATTTATCTTTATAACTCTTAAAGTTAGAGAATAACAGATCCTTCAACTTTGTTCTTTTTATTCAAGTAGTCTTTTTCCTATTTTACATGCTTTAAATTTCCACATAAATCCTAGAATCATTCCCAGTTTTCTTAAAGTAAACCTTTTGATTGGAAACACATTGAATCTGCAGAACAATTGGGGCATGCAGATGTTAACATCACTGAGTCTTCAGCCTGGTGGTTGGCACACCTGTAACTCTAACTACTTAGGAAGGTGGCGATTGGGTGAATTGAGGTTTGAGGGCAATCTGGGCAAAAAAGTTCATGAGACTTCATCTGAACCAATAAATGAGCCAATAGCTGGGTGAGTGGGGGCAGTGAGGGGAGTGTGCCAGTCACTCTAGCCGGGCAGGGAAGCAAAAACAGGAGGATTGAGTCCAGGCTGGCCTGCCATAAAGTTGGAAAGCAAAAAGGGCTTGGGCGTGTGGCTTAAATGGTAGAGCCACTGTCTAGCAAGTGCAAGGTTCAAACCCCAGTACAGCCAAATAAATAAATAAATAAATGCTGAGTCTTCTAACCTAAGAATGTATTATACTTTCCACTTATTACACTTCAATTTTTGGCAACAGTGTCTTGTAGTTTTCATACATTACTGTTTGACTTGTTATTTTATGTTTTATAATAGTTATGCAAATTGTGTCTTTTTTTAAAAAATGTTTTTGTCATGGTCCATTACAGTATAGAAATATAACTGATTTTTAAAATATCTACCTTGAAAGTTACAGGGTAAATATTAAATTTCCTTATTTTGTTCTTGAAAAATCGCTTTAGTTCTTACAGGTTTTTGTTTTATTTGTAAATTCCATAGGATTTTCTGTCCAACCCAGGATATGTGTGAGTAAAAGGGAGAGAGAGAGAGAGAGGAGAGAGAGAGTAAGAATGTGTGTGTGTGTGTGTGTGTGTGTGTGTGTATGTGTGTGTGTGTGTGTAGCAATGAGATTTTGTCATTTATTTCCAATATTTATGCTGGCTTGGGAGTCGTATTAACTGGCTGGGGATTTCAGTACCTTGTTGTATGGAATTTAGAAGAGCAGACATGCATGCTTGCTTAATTCTTAAACCATGGGAAGAACATGAAGTACCACAGAATATGTAGTAATTGTTGGTTTTTCTACAGTTAAATGCCATTGATTTAACTGTGTAAGTTTACTTCTATTCCTAGCTTATGGTACGTTTTTCCTTTTGGGTATAATGAATTGGTGTTGGATTTTTTTTCAAATGCTGTTTTATTCTTATATAAATTTTCATATTAGTTTTCTCCTTTCCTCTGTTTATATGGAAAATTACACTGATTGCTTTTCAAACATTAAAACCACTTTGTACTGTTGGAATAAAACCCAATTGGTCATGATGTGTTATCCATTTTAGAAATTGCTATATTCTACCTGTTGATTTTTAGTAAGGATTTTGTATATTCGTGAACAATTTTGGTCTATCAATTTATTTCTTTTATAGTACCTTTTTCAGTTTTTCTTATAAGCATCAAAGTGATGCTAGCCTCACAGAATAAATTGGGAAGTATGCTCTTCTCTATTTATGAAGGCGTTCTCATACTACTGGCTTTATTTCTGCATCTAAGGCTATTAATTAATTCACCTGTGAACAGTTTGAACCAAAAGTATTTTAAGGGTGGGGATAATTTTAATTACAAGTTTGTCAAAGTTAATTTCCTACTTATGCCAAATAATTTATTGAACATAATTTCAGTTTCTTTGTTTATATTTTCTACCTCATTTGTTAGTAAGTTTCATTTTTTAAGAATTTGTGGATTTTTATCTATAGTATCAAATTCATTGCCATGAAATTGTTTATAATATCATTATCATTTTAAGCCTATAAAATTCGTAATGATGATGGTGCTTTTATCCTTGGTACAGTAATTTATATTTTCTCCTTTTTTTTTCTTAATTAGCCTTGGGGGAATTTACCAATTTAATTAAGATTTTCAGTAAGCCAGCATCTAACCTTGTTTCTTTTCAGTAAAGTTTAGTTTTTCTTTGTTGTATGCTCTGTCTGTCATTTCTTTCTTTTAAGTAACTGGATTTAATTTATTCTTCTTCAGCTTCTTGAGTTGGAAGGCTGTGTCGTAAATTTCACATGCTTGCTTTTATTTCCTTTCTAATGTAGGCATTTTAAAGCACTAAATTTCCCTCTACTGTTTTAATTACTGACACATTTTGATATTGTTTTCACTTTTATTTAGTTTGAAATATTTTCAAATTGCCTTTAAATTTTCCTTTCTAATACATGGGTCATTCACACCCTAGTCCTACCCAAAGATGGTGATGATAATAATAATGTGTTCCTTTGTGACAAAACTGTCAAAATATTACAAAACAGCTGAATAGATGAACTGTCACAACTTAAATAGCACACTGGTTTTCTCTATAATAATCAAATTTATGAAATACAAATGTCAGATCAATTATGAAAAAGAATAACTTAGTAGTCAAAGGATTTAAGCCTTAAGTCAAAGGCATGTAAGTAAAATGACCAGTTTTCCCCAGGGAGATATATGTATATACTTTATCAGTTTTGATAAAATATGACCCAGATATGTCTTACACCATTTATGCTCTCAGCCATCTACTCTCCAGGCAATTCTAACACTGTCCACACTTCTGCAGACACACTCTAAGGCCATTACCATGGCTGAAGGTGATCAAATTCCTACAAACCTATGCACATCACACCAGACTTTCAGGATTGACTATTCTGTGTCATTTTCCCTAGTAGGCTACCCAGGGAGAAACAAATAATTCCTGAGATCCATACATGTGATCAAATCAGTGTTGTCATCGCTTCCAAGAACCAAAACACTTGTGTTCCTAAGAATTTTGCTGCTTAGAAACAGCTATAAGGCAAGTTTAAAAGCAGAACAGATTAATCACATGTTAGTAATCCATGGTCAGGGATGTTTTTTGGGTTTTGGTTTTTTTTGTTGTTTGTTTGTTTGTTTGTTTGGTGCTGGGGCTGTAACTCAGGGCCCTGTGTTAGGATAGCTCCTAACTTTAAACCAATGATGTCCCTGAAGAGATTGTTAAAAGTTGCCATTGGTGACTGTATTTCAAGCCCTCATGGTGGGGTTTTCAGGAAGTTTTAAATTAGCAATATTCATGCCTTAGATAAACCTTATTGGCTAAGATACTGCCCCTGTGCAAGCTAAATTTTTATTTTTACGTGTGATATTCAATCTCCTTTACCTTCTGACCAAACTTACAAAGATCTCATTTTTTTAATGCTCAAACTATTTTTCACACCAGGAATTTAAAATCAGATACATAAAAAAGCCAAATGCACAGATACATATTAGTGTTTGCATGTATATACACATATTTTTAATCATTGAGCAAAATCAAGTTGCCTTCGAGATTTTGATTTCAGGGTAAATCAAACTTGAGCTTGGTGTAGTCAAAACAGTGCTGGCCCTAGGACAAAGTAGAAAAGAAAGAAGATAAGGATTATTTGTGTGCTGGCTGGTTTTGCAGCATCTCTGGCCTTGCCTTCCTGACCAGGTACCTAGGTTCTTTCATCATGAATAGCATTATGAAATATTGTCCAGAGTGCTTCCTTATCAGGGCATTGATTATGGCACTAGACAACTTTATTAAGTTTTAAGCCTACTATTTATTAGTTTAAAAAGAAAGTATAGACCATCAAATTCAGTATTCCCCAACTTGACCACAGTTCATTTCTGAAATATGTCAAACACATTGTGATTAATTGAAAATGGAATTGATCCAAGGATAGATAGATATCAGCATAGAGAAGAATCTTGTCAGCTACCGTTATCTTCATCTCGTGAAACCGTAAAGAACTACTGTTGGTGCCTGAGGAGTTAGAATCTTCTTAGTAGTAATAGTTGTGCATGAATGAAATCAGCATTTGGATGGAGAAAGAATGTCCCATATTGGAAAGTAATCATAGCTTTTATCTTCTTGTGTATGTGCTTTGACAGCTTTTTGGAGACGACAGCCTATTACTTCATGAAACCAAAAATTGGAGAGAAGGAGGTATCCCCAAATGTTTTCTTCAGTATCTGGCATGAATTCAGCTCTGACTTTAAAGACTTTTGGAAGAAAGAGAACAAACTTATTCTACAAGAGAGGTAGTTATTTTCATTTGCACAATGGCATTTAAAAACTGTTATTTTATTAGGTGTGACACCACTGGGGGGCTGCCAAATTTTATAACATGGATAAAAAATTAGATGACCCTCCCTGTGGTGGCAAGTTGAAAAAGGTGTTGACATATGGCAGAATCTGGAGTTTGAAGAGTAAGCACAGGACTGTGATGCATGGAGAATAGCTGAGGTTGGGGGTAGTTTGCCAGGACAACTTCTGTCATGAAAAAACTACACAAAATCAAACCATGTAAGAAGGGTTGCACAACCCTGTAGGGTGATGGCAAAGACTATAAAGGTAAGAAGAATAGTTTTCATGTTTGCTTCCCCTCAATTTAAGGGATATTGTCAGTTTTACCATTCCTACCAGAATTTCTTATAGACTCAGATGTCTACAAGAAGCACAGATGATCAGTGGTTTTAAAAAAACTCTTTCAAAGTTCTTGTGGAATTACATCGTATTTCCTAAATGAAATATTTTCAGGAATAAAGGGAATTTTTTTCTCTTGAGTATGTAAAATAATGTCTCTGGGATTATGAATTCCACACAGTCATATATTAAATATTAATTTGTGAAGAAAGCTAGCCCTCCCAGGGCAGCCTCCCCAAATAGCTGGATCTAGTGGGAAAATGAAGGAAAACATAATCCACACTATAAAGCAAACCCTAATACTGAACCAATTAGTGTACTTCCTAACATCCTGCTGTAACAAAGACTGCTTTAGATCTTTAGAGAACTCGCGTTCTCATGGGCTTGGTTCATCACTACCACAGCATTCCACAGCTTTCTGATTATTGTCTTCGTGAAACCATGTATAAACACTTTCATTTGTAAATAGATTTTGGTATCTCCTTAAATTGGTGACATTAATTGCTAACATTTACTGAATATGTAAGTGATGGCAGACTTATGCTCCATATAATAGCAGACAACATCTCTTAACAATGAGGGGTTGTGCTAAGAAATGCATTGCCAGGTGATTTTGTGGTTGTATGTAATCACAGAGTGTTTACACAAACTAAAATGGATACAGCATCACTTAGGGGGCCACCAACATGTATGTAGTCATTGTTGACCAAAATATTATGCCTTACATGGATACAATTTCTTACATTCTGTAGATTTGTCAAAGACAAAACTATGCCTCAGTGAATAGCAAATGGGAAAACTAGCAGTTTAAACAGAAAGATACTTTCAACATGAACTGTAGGCCCGGTGCCAGTGTCTCATGCCTGTAATCTTAGATACTCAGGAGGCAAAGAGCTGGAGGATCAAAATTTGAGTCCAGTTTGGGCAAAAAGTGAGACCATATCTCAAAAATGCCCAACACAGAAAAGGGTTGGTGGAGTAGTCAAGTGGTAGACCGCCTGTCTAATAAGTGTGGTAATGAATTGCCTCTACCTCAATATGCATCAGTAGGAGTTCACATAAAAGTTGGGATTTAATCAGGCATCATTGTGAGTGAAATAGGAAAAATAATTATTCTAAAAATTATTCTTTAATAATTGCTAAAAAAAATTTTTTTTTGTGGTACTGGGGTTTGAACTACACCTTGAGCCACTGCACCAGCCCTTTTCTGCAATGTTTTGTTTTGTTTTTGAGATAGGGTCTCAAGAACTATTTGCCTTGACTGGCTTTGAATTGTGACCCTACTGATCTCTGCCTCCTACTAGAATTACGGTTGTGAACCCCCAGCGCCCAGAAAAACCCAGTGTTTTTAAAGAAACTTTTTTAACCTTAGAAAATCACATATCCCACCAAGGCCCTGAGTTCAAACCCCAGTTTGCCTCCCAAAGGAAAAAGAAAAAGCAAAGAAAAGAACAAATGCTAGTGAGGATGTTGGGAAATGCTAAAATGCTATTGGGAATATAAATTAGCCCAGTCGCTATGGAAATCAATGGAGGAATTACCATATGGCCCACTACTGTTGATCATGTACCTCACAGAATCAAGGTCAGCTTGCTGTAGCGTGGCTCAGGTTTATTGAGAAACAACTCATAATACCCAAATTATGGAATTAACCTGGGTGCTTATCAATGGGTATGGATGCAGAAAGTGTTAGTATACATAGACAATGGAGTTTTACTCAGCCATTAAGAATGGAGCTATGTAATTTGCTGGGAAATGGATGGATTGGGAGATCATGTTAAACAAAATAAACCAGTCCCACCAAGGACAAGTATCACGTTTCTTCTCATTTCCTCCCATTTCATGACACCAAGGTCATGAAAATTAAAAAAAGGAGACTACCAATGAGGTGGGAGAGAGGGGGATAAGAAAGAGTCAGTCATACATGCAGTGAATGTAATCAAGGTACATTATATGCATATATGGAAGTGTCATGCTTTGTACAGTTTAGTATACACCAATAAAAATAAAGGTTCTGAGTGCCAGTGGCCCACACCTGTAATCCTAACTACTTGGGAGGCTGAGATCAGAAGGATCACAGTTGGAGGACAGCCTGAGCAAATAGTTTATAAGACCCATCTCAACCAATAGCTGGATGCAATGGCATTTGCCTGTCATCCCAAGCTATGCAGGAGGCTGAAATCAGGAGGACCACAGTTCTAAGCCAGCCAGGGCGCACAAGAACCCATCTCAATGGAAAAAAGACTGGACATGGTGGTGTGTGCTTGTTAGCCCAGCAATGGCAGGAAGTGTAAAATGGAAGGATCAAGATCCAGAGTGGCCTGAGCAAAAGGTGAGATTCTACCTCCAAAATAATCAGAGTAAAAAGGAGTGGCTCAAGTCAAGTGGGAGAATGCCTGCCTAGCAAGGGTGAAGTCCTAAGTTCAAACCCCAGTACTGTCAAATAAATAAATAAATGACTAAAGAGGAGCACATGGCAGGGAGAAGGAGAATACTGATTTGGACTTTAACTTTCAATATCTATTATGCCTCCTAGCAAATAATAACCACACTGCGTTGAAAAGCAAGGTCATCGTCTGACATGTTTGTACAGCTTTGTCCCTGTCCTTAGAGCGTGACTGGCTACATGAGTTCTGGGAAGCAATGTAACATAAAAACATGTTGTTCCTTTTCAAAAATTTGAAATTTGAAGACAGCAATGGATTAAATCAGTTCCAGAGGCCTTCTGGGAGCTGTGTCCTTAATGACTGCCTGATTCCTCACTCTTGTCGACATAACCTTGATATCATATAGGGAATGGACAGGTGTTTCAGGAATCCTCTGAGTGCCCTGGGATGTGGGTAGAAAATGAGAGTGTGATCAGTTCAGAGACACCATCATCTGATCAGAAACTCAGGTAGAATTATAAATAATTAAAATGGGATACCATTCCTTAACTTGTTTCCCTCCTCTGCACTCCTGTAATAATTACTACCAGCATAACTTATTTAACAGTTAATCCATTACTACTTAACAATATGTTTATGATGTCTTTATTTTATGCTTTAACTTTTTTGTTGTTTGCATTTCCCATGGAGCCCTTTAGTTCCTTATTTCTGGTATTACTATCACTTGTCACTCACACTGCCTTTCTCTTCTTAGTGTGTCCATAAATATTTCCTGATTTGAATTTTTTTCTTTGTTTTGGCTGGGGGGCACTATACTGGGGTTTGAACTCAGGGCTTCAAGCTTGCTGTGCCATTGCTCTACTACTTGAGCCATACTTCCATCCCTTTTTACTCTCATTATTTTGGACATAGTGTCTCACTTTTTGCACAGGCTGACCACCTAGACCTTCATCCTCCTATTTTATGCTTCTTGCCATAACTAGGATGAGAGGCACACACCACTAAGCCCACCTTTTTACTCCCATTGAGTTGAGGTCTCACAAACTTTTTGCTAGACTGGCTTGGAATTGCAGCCCTCTCAATCTCAGCCTCCCTCATAGCCTGGGATGAGAGTCGCCCATCAACATGCCAAGGTATTGGTTGAGAGTGGAATCTCCTGAACCCCCTGTCCTCCAACTGTTATCCTCCTGATCTCAGCCTCCCAAATAGCTAGATTTACAGGTGTGAGCCACTAGTACCCAGCTTCCTGGTTTGACTTTCATGTCATTGTAGCTGACATGGACACGAAAGTAAGAATTTAGCCTACTAAGGCAATGAACATGTTTTCACACATAAATTGATCACAGTATATAATAAAACTTAATAACTTAAGCAAAAGACAGACATTTATTTGTTTAGACAGTCAAACCTCAGAAGAGTGGGAAAAGACTTGCCTGTGGACTGCTTAGTGCAGAATTCCACTTGCAGCCAGTGGTTTAGGTGGACAGCTCTGTTCCTTCCTCTTTCCCTATCTGTGAGTCCTTGGACACATCTTCTCTGTCCCTCTGTTCCTCCTCCTCCCTCCCCATCTTCATCTTCTCTTTCTTTCTTACCCTCTGTCCTCTCTCTCTGACCCTGCTTCCTTTTCCTGTTCCCCTCTCCCACTCTTCCTTGTGGGTTCACTTAATTTTTTGAGCCAGACTTTTCCTTTCTGGTAGACTCATGGCTTCTGGCTATCAGGCACAACCATGGCTCATCTTCTCACAACCTAGGAGCAGTTCCATCTAAGAAGTTTTCAGGGATGAGGTCCAAATGAGCTCTGTCCATCTTTGGATCTGGTACAGTATCCAGAGGAGGGGGCTACCACAATCACAGAACAGTCCTGCAGCCAAGGCTTAGTATGATTAGCAGTTCCCTTCATAGTACCATCTTTGCAGTGAGAAGAGACTGTTTTCCCCAGAATAATCGGTTGCACTAATTTATCAAGGACATAAAAGTAACCCATGTAATTATCCAAATGTTTTAGCAAGGTAGAAATGACTGAATGATGATCTGATGGTGTCCTTAAAGTTTTCCTTTCTGATGAAGTTTTCCTCAAACTAATTTGCTATTTATAGACTGAATAAATCTGTAAGATTTTAAATCCTGTATGAATTTTTCTTTCCCTGTTATTTCTAATTGGTATCTGATTATAAAGTGGTAGTGTCTCTGTTTTTCTGGCTTTATCCTGATAACCCATATTACATAGT